TTGGGAAATTCCTTCTTTGTAAATGTGTAATTTCATTCTTTAGTCTCCGTCTCCTCATGCCTTATGTCCAGGTTCGAATCTGAGAAGGTTGGGGGGAAAAGCTACTGGTGTCTTGTATAATCTCCTCAAATGTCTTGTGTGTCAAACTGATTGAACTTCACTGTATTATAGGGCTGGGATGATCGGAATTCATGTAATCATTCAAATACTTACAGTAATCAAACAAAAGGAAAGCAAGTGAGATGAGTTTATAGTCCTGGGTGTGTGTGCAGATTTTTACAACTGGTGATCATTCAGCTGAGTGGATCCTTTCCATACAAAGTCAGTTTGCTGCCTTAGTTTGCGTGCAGCTGAAATCCCTCAGGTATCAGAGGAGTCCTAGCAGAAGTGTTTGAACTTTGCCACCTCACTATCTGAAGCTTATAAAAGCAGAATACTGCATCAAAAGATTGGCCCGCCATTGGCTCTTAGCTTGGCGTGCAGATCTTGGGCCTCTGGGAGCCTCTTGCTGTTCAGCTACTAGGTCCAAGGTACTGAGAGGTATAGAAAGAATTGGGCAGGACTAGGATGACCAACAAATAGGTGGCCCATGGGTATATATATTATGCTTGAGCTAAATGAATAGTGGAACTCTTGAACAAGAAATTAGCGAGAATACAGAAAGTAATTCGGCAAAATGTGTTTTTAAAGAAATGTCAATATTTGCTATTCTGCTTGGCTGAGCAAATTGGGAACTATTCCATACTCACAGGTACCAATGTGCTTTGGCAAAATTAGAGTAAGCCCTCTTGACAGAAGACTCTCTCTTCAGTTCTACCTCCTGGAATCTGCAGGTTTTTAATCTTTGATTTCCTCTTTGAAAATCCAGTGTTCTTAATTGTCAACATTTAAAACAACCTACTTACCTTCAATCAGAATTTGTACCTGTGACTAAATCGCTCTGTCTCAGGAACTCATATGGCCCTGATCACCGTAATATCTGAGCACCTGACAATCCTTAATGTGTCGATCCTCATAGCACCCCTGTGAGCACAGCAGTACTATTATCCCACTTTTACAGATGGAGAACCGAGGCACAGAGAAACTAAGTGATTTGCACGTGGTCACAAAGTGGCCGAGCAAGGAACTGAACCTGTATCTCCCAAGTTTCAGACTGAAAATAAGGTGTAAATTTTTAACGGTGAGAGTAATGAACCATTGGAACAATTTACCAAAGGTTATGGTGGATTTTCCATCACTGACCATTCTTAAATAGAGATTAGTTGTTTTTCTAAAGGATCTGCTCTGGGAAGTATTATGGCCTATCTTTTGTACAGGAGGTCAGACTAGATGATCACAGTTGTCCCTTCTGGCCTTAGATTCATTCATAGATTCCATGAGTCTAAGTCCCAGGCTAGCACCTTAACTAATAGCTGAAATTACAGAGTAATAAATTACTGCTCTGCACTGCAGCCTGTTACTGATAAAAAAATATTTTTAAGCCTGTTGGAAAGGATAAGGAAGAGTGTAAAGCAAACATGGCTTATTAGATTGTAGTTCAGAAAAATGGGACAATAATTATGACCCTTCTAAACCCATGAGGATGCGTGGGGAAGAGGCAATTCTCTTTGAAGCTAGAGGATTTCAGGATAGAAGATCACCAGCCTGTAAAAAAACCTGAGAACCTGGGAGGATGGAGTGGAAAGAAGCATAAAAACAAACTTGCATTAATGGCATAACACATTAGTAGCTTGGTTTTTGTTTGTTTGTTTGTTTGTTTTCCCCTGCCTGTGTCTGTTTCAGGCCTGAAAACCATGTTGATTCAATGGCTGCAGCTTGTGGAATGCAAGATCACAACTGATAATGCATGTCAAATATGGTCTTCGTGTGGCATAGAAAATACAGCATTTCACCCGGAACACAAGATCGAACTGCATTTATAATCTTGAGGAATATTTTATCAGAGATGCAACAATGTGGTGGGTTACAAGGTGTTTCACTGGAACGATAATTTTAAGATTTCAGCATGCAGCTTGCTGTGCTGAAAGCAAACATGAATCTCTGTTTTAAGTCCAGAATTTAAAGATTTGGGTTTGTTTGTTTGTTTTTGGGGGACGGGGGAGGGAATCTGTTTAATCAGTTCATTCTGTAGGATACCATATCGAGGTCAAGAAAACCCAATGAAAGGTAACACTTGAAACTCCACAATTGATGTAGCTTTGTCTACCTACATTCTCTGCTATGCCTTACTTTAGGGACTAAAAATTACCAAGTAATTCATACAAAGGTCTGTTTCAGTTGACCATGTTTTGCTGATGATGATTTTAAATGGAAAACATGGTATTGCTCTAGCTAATCAGGGTATTTCTAAAAGTCATGTTTCAAAAAAGAAGTAAAACATCCATGTTTCGGAGGTTGTAAAGAACCATTTTTTTTTCTTTTCATAGAGACTGGTCAATAAAAAGTCAATTTCACCAGAGTGAAAAGGAGACAGGGTTTAGCGGGGAGTGGGAAATTCCTTCTTTGTAAATGTGTAATTTCATTCTTTAGTCTCCGTCTCCTCATGCCTTATGTCCAGGTTCGAATCTGAGAAGGTTGGGGGGAAAAGCTACTGGTGTCTTGTATAATCTCCTCAAATGTCTTGCTGTTTGTCCCAGCCACATTGTAAATAGATATGAATCATATATATATAAATATATATAATTTTTTACATCATCTTCATCTCTATCTTCTATTGTTCTATGCTTTTTTCTTAAAAAAAAACAAAAAAAAACAAAAAAACTGCTCTTGCACTACTGAGTACCTGTCAGCTGTTGGCTAAACCTTCATGGTGGTGTTCTCAGTGAAATCTGATTGACAGGGAGAACAGAGAGGGGAATGAACATGTTGAACCATTTCCCCCCACTCCCTCCAGGATTCAGGAAATACCAAGTGTATTTATATAGAAAGGAGGAAGAAATTACCTTCAAAATACTGAGTGAGAAACATCAGGAGAGATGATTATTTTAAAAAATAAACTTGTCTCAAACACATACCGAAGTCATTTTTTGTTCGGCCATGAAAACTAAAACAGTGGGGAAAGAGGGACCCTAAAAAGGGAGCGTTGTGTATTTCACAGTGGCTTTCTTCCAGTTCCACTCCATTGTTTGGCATTTGCAGCTCAACCTCTTGGTGTGCAGCCTTAAATGTGGAAATGGAATGAGTGATCTTCCTTGGACGGTTGCACTACATACAACTTTAGGATACAAATATTTTGTCCTTGGAATGATTTCTCCTTAGTCTAAACAGACTTCTGGGAAAAACTGAAGCATGGTTATAATTTTTTTTTATATATATTCCCTCTCCTGGGGAAATAACTGTAAGTGGAAACTTCTTTTGTTTGCTTGTGAAAGGATGACGCTAACTATTAATAATTAGAAATAGAAGCCCTGACAGCAAAACAGTAAAGGGCCTCTGCATGTTTAATGAGCTAATGTGTTTGGACTTGTTTTTTTCTTCATGGGCCAAGCTGAGCGATACTTTTCCTAGCCCCAGATGCCAGGATCCCAACAAAGAGCTGACGTTTCATCCCCAACAGTTCCTTGCTGCAATTCCTAGGGAATTGTGTTTCCTGGAGAGAGCGTGGCATCCAGATCAGGCACAATTATAATAAAACCAACACTCGTGCCCATTATTTATCCACTGCTGGACTACGGTATAGAAGGGATCTCAAGTTGAGCTTGCCTTAAAGGTTGAATCTGTTGGTACTATTGGAGGATAAATAAGGTATTTTGATGCCATGGTACAAACCCTAGATAAAATGGCTGAGTAGCCTTTTGTTTCTACTAGCTGGAAAAAAAACAAACAATGCTTATGTCCAGTTGAAATTTTGATAGATGATCAGTGTCTGAGCTAACAGAAGTATTATAAATCTTGATTTTTAACTGCAAGGAAACTTTCAGTTGTCCTCTAAAAAGCAAATGTTGGTAGGATTTCAACCAAAGCTTGTTGAGCAAAGTGGCTGTGCTGTAGTTTGATTGAGTAGGCATTGCAGAAATGTGTAAATGGTAGCTCCACCGAGCCACTCCTACGTCTCTGGGAGTGGCGGACTTTCAATATTTGAAATCCATTCATTTGCTTTGGAGTACTTCATCTCGTTGCACAGGCAGGAAATGCAAACTAGACAAGAGCAAACTAGATTAGTTAATGTCTCAATATGATTAGTTTCAGAGTAGCAGCCGTGTTAGTCTGTATCCGCAAAAAGAAGAACAGGAGTACTTGTGGCACCTTAGAGACTAACAAATTTATTAGAGCAT